CCGGTTAACGAATGCACATGCATTATCCGGATACAATTACCATATCAAGGTATCGTCGGTGATCCCTAACACTGTCCTAATTGCCCGGCTCGACAATTTATTAAATTGCTCTATTACGAAAGCTTTTTTCGCCGTACTTTCACCGACGCTCTCTCCGGAGAAGGATGCTCACCCACTTTGAACAAAGCCTGTGGGCAAGGTGGGCATTGTTTATGGAAATCTCCGCAAGAGCATTGCTCGGTACGGAAGATAAGTATATTTCTGGGTACCAGTAACATCCAGGTACGGCCTTAAAATTTCTTTCAGTGAATTTGAAATATGTTACAAGTGACAATATTTCGAATAACGTACGATAGGTCGACCTTAGTTGTGCACAAAGATCTATACATGAATTATGTACGGGACTACATCAGACAGTGTGTCAAGTCACACACGAAAATAGACTGCAATCTCACCCCAATGAACTGTCAAACGAACTACTCAACGAAAATGATAAGACAAGAATATTTAGGAAGATCAAACCAAATGATCTAATAAGAAAATCAACGGAGAAAGAAAGGGGTTACCTCATTTATCAAAATTACTGGAAGGCTTCTTCTAAGCCTGTTGTAATGGAAAAATAATAAAAAGAAATTAAAAATTACGTAGAAAAGGATCCACCTCAGAGATTTCGATAACCTTGAAATATGTTGTCAAGGTCAACATTCCGTGCAACTTGTTCCTATATAACCATCTACTTATTGTGTGCCCACTTTTAGTATTCATGAGTGAAACAGGTTTACACATTCCGTGATAATTAACTTCAATACATAATGATGGCATTATATTCTTATCTTATATATTTGATACAACCATAATTTTAGGTAGTTAGTTAACAACATAAAAGACTACATAGTATATTGAACAGGTTTGGTCGAGGTCTCCTTTACTAAACTTAAAAATTTCACTGAAAAATACAGATATATATTGTAGAATATATGTGTTATCAGATTGAATTTTTTAATTACACATTTCCTTTATATATAAAATCAGTTTTAAACTATTTCTCTGATTCATTTAAGCCGTTTATCTGATTTCCTATCGATAAAATCAAGTGTGCTATTTATTTTTAAGTGACATGCTATACCTATTTATACCTAGTACAACAGTAGATGTTTAGACGATATCAATTATCTATAATTCCGAGACATTCAGTGTGGAATAAAATAGTAAAACAATTATCATAGAAGGTGCTTGAACTGGTATCTATAATGCGATAGAATTAATCCGGAAACGATATCAAATGTATGATTATCAGCAATTCGTCTTATATCACGTCAGTGTAACCGGATACCACCACTTCTATTACTTTTATGATATGCAACCATTGTTTTTCTCCGTCCCTACACGCGAAGTAACCTTATATTATATTTCTACGATATTTGTTTTTAATTAAGTATACCAGAGAATTGAGATCGCAGGAGTGCATTAGCACCTTTCTCTTATTCAACATTGTCGTCCTGCCTACTGATTTTAATTCTGAAGGTTGTGCTGGTCTCTTTTGCCATATCGAGCAGTCGCTGATTCAACTATTAAGTGCATTACTCGTCTCGTAGGATAGCAGAAATGAAAAAAGCTCGGTGTTTATTATTTTTTAAGAAACTAGTAGGAAATTTTCTATGCTCAACGAAGAGATCAAAATAACGTATTTAGGATTATTTTCGAGAAGCGATGGGAAATTCGATGGTTTCCGTGTTTACGATAACATCGATGAAAGAATATTCCGTGTTTTACATTAGCAATAAGTCGGACATGAAACGTTCCAAGGGGAATAAGAAGAATTTGCATATTATAATGTAAAACCGGTTAGTTTCTATCGAATGCAAACTTTGTATCGTGAATGTGCTCTTTTAAAGATCAATAATTTAAAGATCACGTTCGAAAGTATTACAGAAGGCGATTGCACCGAGAATAATTATGTCTCTTTAATATTTGTTTTGTAGAACGAGAGTCAATTTATTTGCGTTCTTGTTTTTCTTTTCACATACAGACCACGGTGATTCTGAGTTTAAATTTATACTCCTAATTGACGGGTTTGGATGCATATTAAACATTTTTATTTTATTATGTAAATCACGATTCCTTATTTATTGCCTTCATAAATGTATCTACAAGACACTATTTATATTGTTACTTTATAGTAAAACAGTTTTTCTTCATCTATATTTACATATTATTTGCATCGACTCGATATTTATTATCGTTACTTACGAAAGTAAGAATTGAAACAGTTACAGAATCGAAGGGTATTACGAGTATCGTATGCGTTGACGAAGTCACGTAGAGAAAATTCACGTAATCGTTTCCTAGAAACCTGGCTTCGATGACTGAGCCTTTCAAGTCTAGGTCAAGTAACGCGAGTTAAAAATTCAATTCACTGGCATTTCTTGCAGGAAACAGAAGATTTCGTGAATTAATTTTTCAGATAATTCTCGACCTTAAGGAATCATAAAGAGTTTGTGGACATTACTAATTCGCAGGAGTGTTGCAAGCTGATGCAACACATATTCCTACTGGAGATGCGAAACTTCGTATTAATCGCGCGTAATTGCATCACAAAATGTAAACTATGCTTGGAAATATCAAAATGATTCAATGTCTTTGGAATTCTCATAATTCGTAGACATCAATAAAAATGTTCGACATCTAGGAACAACGTTAGGAACAACCTTATCCATAAAAAATTATATTTGTCGCAATTAAGAATTTAAATTTTCAACACTTTCAGTTAAATAAAGTTATAGGTGGATTAAATCCACCAAAGAACAAAAATACTCCACGAAACATAATTGCAATAAAAAATTAATATACTGTAAAATTTAAATATGGGTATGCAAAATGTAGAATGTACGAAGAAAATTATATGTGTTTTGAAATCAATAAAAAAGAAGTGAACTGGATTCATTGTTAATTAAAAGTTGTTCGTAACGTGAAAGCTCTATATATATACTTCGTAGAAGCAGCGAACGTAACGGGTTATCGATTGCAAATCGAGCGTAAAGAGCCACGTGAGTTCGAGCATCGGGAAGACACGTCCGGTTATTCTCGATTGCATTTATACGGTTATGCTAATTCAAGACGTCGACTCGTCGGCTTTGCAATTATACTTGCCATCTTCATACAGGGATCGCAAGCGAGCGTGAGTCGTTCGACTACATGGCAGTTATGCGACGTTGGCCAATTTAAGTTTTAAGCCGTATACTTACAGAAGTGCCGTGCGCGCAACGAATCGGTGTTTAATTTGCCCTTTAAAATTTTCTTTAATTTTCCCGCCCATTTCACGAAGGAATGTACCATCAACGATAATTATAATAATAATTATTATTATAGAACGTACGGTCGCGAGGTCCGCTATTTACGAAGCAACAATTTCATCCTTGAACGCTTAGATGACGATAGTGGCACTCAAATTAAATGCTAATATATATAATATTCTAAACATCTCCGTGCATTTATATTGAAAAGTGTGATAAAGGAATTTCAATCCTTTAGATATTTTATTTTTGCAATACAGATAGCTAAAGCATAATAAGAAATGTTCGACTGAATTATGTGATTAGAAAAAGTAAATATACTTGCATTTGCTCCTTTAAAATTTTTAAAAAGCCAAATAGTGTAAATTTTTAATGAGTAAGCTTATGTAATATAAACTCTATATAATAAATTTTGTTGTATTTAAAATGGTGGTTAAAATCACAAGATGCGCCCTGTATATAATTTTTTTTACATTACGTGACTTTTATAATTTGAAAAGGGTCGTAAATCGACTGAAACGTCAGAATTAATAAATTCATTTTGATCCGCAAGCGATCGATCATCACTTGATCATATATATCATTGTGGAAAATTTGATAATGAAACAAGGTTACCGTTATGTCTGAGAAAGCGTGACGTAGAAGATTGTGTGCTTCTGCCTTTCGTACGAAGTAGACCAGCCACGAAACTAAATTACAGGTTCGGACCAAATACAAGTTCCACGCGCGTGTTCCCACAAGAGTGATCGTAGAACGTAAATATGCCGCTAGCCTAAGTTCTCGCCTCATCATCTGCATTCCAATCGCTAAACTCAAGCGTCCAAATGGATATGGAGTCGAAGGTTCAAGACGAAAGTCAATTTAGATCGAAACAAGCTCCGCACGAGCAGGCTCGAAAACGACCTAACCGCTTTGAAACCCCACTGGCATATCTCATGCTTTTGGCAGCAATGGCGTTAGAAGTAATAAACGGAATCGCCTTTACGACTCCTTCCTGAATTAATCTCGTGGCTACGACGGACGTGTTTTCTCTCACGTCGATCCACCGCGAGGATCTCACCATTTGGCTGCTTACGGCATTACGTTCTTTCGTTTAAAAATACGGACAATCCGCGTCGAGCTGCTGCGTAGGTTTATTAACGGTTGTTTCACGAATACCTCAAAAAAAAAATTCAACGAAAAATTAGGGGGACACCTCGTGGCCTTCTCTCATTAGTGTTGCGAGAGAAAGGCACGAGGATGGACAAGCGACCATGAAAGACCAACTTTCCAGTCGTAGGCGTCAAAGAAGATCATGACCATGCTCACGTAGAGCCACACCGAATTGCAAACACGTGCGGTCTGGTTGCGTCATTCGCGACTGCACGGACGAAGGTATGTATTCCTAAGCATGATTCAACTTCACGGAATACCGTGGCAACGTGGAGCAATCCTCTTTTTCCGGGTAAGAGACTGGCGTCCGCAAGAAATGCACGCGTCGATGATGTGTCAGTGTAACACCGTCGACGATAATGTTAGATAAAAACATACTCCGTCACGCAACAAGTACTTGATAAAACTTCCTTTTGTAGACTAAGAATCGCGAATTGAGACAGTCGACCAGAGGAAGAGGCACTGAATACGAAAATCAATAACTTAGAGAGAGGAGGAAAATTTGTTTCAACGGAGTGGGAGGTGACACTAACTCACTCTTTTACCGATGGGCGTTGAGTAACGTGGGAACCACGACACGAGAAACAATGTATTTCTTAGTAAGTTTTCGAATGTTTTGCAAATCGCAATGCCAACCAATAATTTCAAATGAACTACTTCGTCGGAAAAATTATTTGAGGTAAGTTAAGTCATCGTACGATAATATATTTGTTCGTTTAACGTATACCGTTGCGTTGTAAAAATTATATCGCATTTTTTAGTGTTAGTCGTGTCCGTAAGAAATCGTTTGAGTATGTAGGTTCAATAAACGGAAGTTTGATAAAGTTAAATTGATTAGACATTGAACATTTACTCGATGAAAAATTCGGTAATCATTGGAATTATTATCAGCGGTTGTAAAGATTTCGGTTCAAAGCTCGCACGAAGCAGTTGAATTATGATAATTTTTATAACCTATTCATTGATTATGCACGTGACATGACTCTGTAATAACATCGCTAAGTAACGGATCATTGGCGCAGTTAACATAATATTTTTTCCCTTGTGGGATCGGGAAGGTAATGACTCCGCCCTGTTCCGTTCCGCACAATTTTATTGTTGCTGTCGTACAACGACGTGACTCGTGGTGCGGGTTACGCTCGACTCTCTGGTACGATCATCGCCACCGTACCAAGAGGCCTTCAAAAACAAAAGACGGTCAGAGACGACGACAACGGCTTTTCGGCTCACGCGGCTCTGGTCGTCTCGTGTGCAACCATCGTCTCGTGTGCAACCATCGTCTCGTGTGCAACCATCGTCTCGTGTGCAACCATACATTGTAGCGGCTTCGAACGGCTAAGGCGTATGTGGCGCCTTGGCCGCCACACTACCCCCCTGCCAGTAATTGGCACAATTACGAAAAATTGACCGACTACATTACCACTACCATTTACTCTATTATATAAAATACGTTATCCTAACTAAGATTTACATTACAGTATTTGAACAGAGTTGAAAAAAAAAAGGAATTTACATGGAGTTTAATATATAATACGTAATACCTAAAAATACATGAAAGTACATAAAAGTGATGGATAAAAATAAATGGTATATGATACTTATTATAATAATGCGCAAGCCTTAAGTACTACCGCGTAATTTGAAATCGATCGGGAAAACGTACGCGTCTACCTGAACGCGTAACACGTTGGGGTCACCAATGTGGGATCGGGAAGGTAATGACTCCGCCCTGTTCCGTTCCGCACAATTTTATTGTTGCTGTCGTACAACGACGTGACTCGTGGTGCGGGTTACGCTCGACTCTCTGGTACGATCATCGCCACCGTACCAAGAGGCCTTCAAAAACAAAAGACGGTCAGAGACGACGACAACGGCTTTTCGGCTCACGCGGCTCTGGTCGTCTCGTGTGCAACCATCGTCTCGTGTGCAACCATCGTCTCGTGTGCAACCATACATTGTAGCGGCTTCGAACGGCTAAGGCGTATGTGGCGCCTTGGCCGCCACACCCTCTTTCATTCAAATGTATTTTATCTGTAACTAAATTATTTCTAGTTTAATTCATAATTTATGTTTTCAATCTTCGCGCCTATTTTTAAAAACAGACTTCTTGATATCGATCGTATATCGTTTGTTTCTTAGACTTTAAGTTAAAGAAAGATTGATTTTCTCTTTATCTCTTTGTTAATCGTTGAGAATATGAGTCTGTTTCATTGTGTTTTAGCAACATCGATAAAGTTAATTACTAAATAAAAATAAATTTGTAGATAAAGGTTTATCAAACTTCATTGTTTTAAACTGTCTGGAAGTGGATTTATGAGATGTTAAATTGTATATATTATTGTCAAAGGTTAGAAAAAATCTGTTTGTAGCCCAAGGAGACATCTTCAAAACAAGACCCATTTTTCACGAACGATATCAACGTATTGCCAAGTGGATAAAGTTCATGATCAGACATGGTCTGTTGATAAAGTTCGGTGAACGGTCCGAAAAATAACATCTACATTGATAATTTATTGCCGATCAAAGTAATCCCCATCAGACCATAATGCATTTTTAATATTGCCACTACAGACGTCGAATATTTTGAAAACAGTTGTTTTTAAGTAACCTCTGCAGTAGTCACACTATCTTGAATGTGTTGAAAGTTAGAAAATCGTATCTCCTTCAGAGAAGACTTTAGCTTAATCAAATGCATTTAGATGACAATTTAGTGCATTCTTCTTCGTTTCTTCGTTTCTTTTTCAGAAACGAATTCAAAATAATGACATTTCTGTCCAATCCACTTATACTTTCGATCTTACAGATCGTACAGAGTTACCCAGACCTTATTTTTCTTCATACTTATACATGTGTTATGTACTTTCCCGATCCAGGATGAGAGAAAGTTTGAAGAGGCAATGTATAAAAATGAGGCATTACTACTTGATTTATACTTTAATCCAACTTTAACGCACTGAATCCCCGCTGATGTTTATCATAGAGAGTACAGTATAGCTTTACCCTTTCCGCTGAAGACTAGTTAGCAAAATATTGTTCGCATCCTTTGCGAAATTTTGCACAATTTCTAAAACATATCTCAAAATTTGAAAAACTGCTTCGTTTCTGCAAAATAAAGTACACTGAATTGATCCCCCATTCGTGTAAACTTCTAGTTATCGCAGTCTAAAACCCACTGGTGACGGAGTTATAACCCGACGCGTAATTTCAGTTTATTAAACACCGAACCGAACCGGAGTTCCCATTGAAAACGCTGTTCCAAATTTAACCTCGCATCTGATCGAAATAAAATATCCACCGTAGGGTAGCATTCCACGAGTCCCTCGACAGGCGTATTTTTAGTCCCCGTTAAATGAAACACATCCTGTACGGTGATTTTTATTGGATAGCCGGTGGGGATCCAAAAGAAAGTGCCGACGGGATCGATGAACCTCGCGAGGGAAATGGTTGCGTCACTTTACGCGTGCGCAACGTCACTTTCATTTCGAAAAATTGCAACATCCCGCCGTGCACTTACGTGCACTCGGCTTTTGTTACCACCGTGATCGACATAACGATATCGTCGACGCAAAAAATTAGCGCCACGTGACGCACAGTAGACGCGAAAATTCGTAGAAAAGCCGGAATTTAGATTTATCACCGAGCACGCCTGCGTTCCCAGTTTCGTCAGCGCGTCCGCTGCTAGCCCATGGGGAGTATAAAAAGTGGGGACAAGGTCACACCAGCAGACAGAAGTCTCTGAGCTGTCAGACGAGTCGGTCGCGTCCACGTTTTGCAGTAACCTGCATTCATTTGGTGCTATACGTGTTTAGTGTTGCTTTGTATCCAATGCAGAGACACGAGAGGTTAGGAAAAGTACCTTATTTCGTTCATTGTAGAATAAGTGAATCGAGTGGCACATATTGCACGTTTACTGAAACAATAGTTTTTACGGTATATGGTGTGCAGTTGACTCATCGTTTACTCCCCACCCCCCATCAAAATAGGGTCAAACGCAATAAAGTTCGCCGTCAATTGGTGGTATGCAATTGGTCTTGTTTGTCCTGAGTCAGTAAATTACGAATGACCATAACTACAAAGTTGTTTCTCTGTGAATTGTATTATCCGTTGAAGTTCGCTTGAATTTAACCTACATTTCTAAATTCAGCTTCGAACACCGGCTTTAACGGTGCACGTGTTTCTCGTACAGGTAGTGGCATCTCGCGAGTCGCGTAGTATTTACGTTCTGTTAGCTGCAATTCTGCATTCATGATCGCGAGAAATGTAAACAAGTTGATAATACCCGGTAATCTGGGAAATTCTTGACTTCCTGTTTACTATTAGGCAGTAAACTAATATTTGATATTTGATATTTTACTATACGATTATTAATAAAATCTTTAGTATCGTAGATTTGTTATTTAAATAACTTTGAATTAAAAATGGAGGAGAAAGTTCCGATAGGTATGGGAGAGTGTTTACACACGCGCATGTCCTCGCGTAGGACAACGAGAACGACCTCTGTAACCTTTTTGACCTTGAACGACTTTACGATAGAGGGAGACTGACAATATTTGTAACATTTAAATGGAAGAATGTTTAAACACGAATACGAAAAGAGTTTTAAAGTTGATAAGTTAAATGTAATCTATTTACAAAATAATATCTGCTTTCAGAAAAATGACTTCCTTGAAGGACAAACTTTTAAGTACGGTGATCGAGCCGATTTCCATCGACAGGAACAAGATCTCCATAGTCGGTGTCGGACAGGTCGGAATGGCCTGTGCCTTCAGTATCTTGACAAACGTAAGAACAATGCATTTATCTACGAAAAGAGTTGGGCAAATTTTATTTAAAAAAATAACAGATAAAAAAATTTTAGAATCATTCTTGGACTAACTTCCGTTTACAAAAATTAGAATTTATTAATGCATTTAAAAAAAAGCAAAATCTAAGTTACTGTCATTGTAATATTTTTAAACAATTTCAATTCATGTCAAGGCGCAAACTCGTAGCAAATATCAACATAGAAAAATAATTCAAGTCGCAAGTAAAATGTGGTGAAACTTGCATCCTCAACGACTTTTTAAAAGCCGTAACGGGACGCCAGGTGGAGAACCAGGCACGACCAGGTGAAAATTCCAATGTTCCCAAACAATGAAAACATGTACTGTGAGAGAAACCTTCCCCCCGATTTCTATATGCAAATAGATTAAATAAATGCAAATGGCAAATATTAGTTCAAGAATAAAATTTTCCCAACTCATGTCACAGATTGCAAGAAAACCAACCGAATATTTAAACATTTCTGACTCGTTTACAGAACGTTTCTAGCGACGTAGTGTTAGTGGACGTGATGGCAGACAAGTTAAAAGGGGAAATGATGGATTTGCAGCATGGTAGCACCTTCCTGAGGAACGCAAAAATTAACGCGAGCTCGAATTACGCTGCCACAGCGAATTCGAGTCTCTGCATAGTGACGGCAGGTGCTCGTCAAAGGGAAGGCGAGACGAGGTTGGACCTCGTTCAACGGAACACAGATATTTTCAAAGGCATCATTCCGGAGCTAGTCAAATATAGCCCGAACACGATCCTCATGATCGTCTCGAACCCGGTAGACATTCTGACCTACGTAGCGTGGAAAATTTCTGGTTTACCTAAGAACCGTGTGATCGGAAGTGGCACCAATTTGGACTCTGCCCGATTTCGGTTTCTGTTGTCACAGAAACTCAACGTTGCACCCACATCTTGTCACGGATGGATTATCGGAGAACACGGCGATACGAGCGGTACGTTAAAGCGATGTTTCCTAATGATAATTCCTAACTGCACAACTATTCGATAACTCGTTCTTATCAGCCATAAAGTCGAAGTGTCAAATTGCGAGCGCGCGTTATCTTGAGATAAAAATTAAATCGTTATAGCAGTTAACTCTTTGCAGCACGGTGACCAGCTAATGGCTAGCATTTGTAGCCAGGTGCTTTAACAATTTATGTTACACATTTACTTAAATGTGCATTACTGTAAAATAATTTCAAGTTCAGTTGGTGAAACTTTGGGGGAGTATGTTTTCCTGCTACCCTTGTTAATCACTTCTTTTTTTTTTTTAAGAATAATTACTTGTATTTCACTGCACATACGAGAGGATTGAAGACTAGTGAAATTATTTTGCTGCAAAGAATTAACGTTTAGGAAGGAGAATTATACCCTTTGATAAATATTTTTCAATAATTTGCGAATATTATTATTTTCAGTACCGATATGGTCAGGAGTAAACGTCGCTGGCGTCAGATTGCGCGACTTGGACGAGCACGTCGGTACCGATAAGGACAAAGAACAATGGGGTAGTTTGCACAAACAAGTGGTCGATAGCGCGTACGAGGTGATCAGACTGAAAGGATACACGTCCTGGGCTATCGGTTTGAGCGTTTCGCATCTTGCCTCAGCGATACTACGAAATTCGAATCAAGTTCACGCGGTGTCTACTTTGGTTACCGTAAGTCGATAATTTCTATTGCCTGAAGAAACGTATTTGTATTTAATACCATGCTGAGAGCATTTCTATTTTTTTTTTTTATTCTGAGTCTTATTAGGATTTTTTGATCAGAAGCCAATAGGTAGCAATATTATTTACAGGGCTATCACGGAATCAACGAGGAAGTGTTTCTATCTCTACCTTGCACTTTAGGCGATGGAGGCGTGACGTGTATTGTCCAACAGAAGCTAACGGAAGATGAACTCGCACTTCTGACTAAATCGGCCAAGACGATGCACGAAGTTCAGAAAGACTTGAAATTTTAGACATTTCATTCTCATTTTGCATGCTAGATTAATATTTTTCGACACGATACGTTAAAGTTTTCGTTCGTTTCGCGTAGTTCAATTTTCGATGGTGCGGACAAGAAATATTTGCTTTTAAGGAGTACATTTCTCATTTCTACTTACTTTTTGTTACTTATTTTTTACATTGCAAATACTTAAAATTTATTTAAAAGGTATTTAAACCGTCAAACGTGTCACGAGCGCTGCGTAGCGTTCGATCTGCACTTTGGCGACGTGTCTGTGTGTGTGTTACTATGAAGTATTAACTATGTATATTGTTGTTAAAGCTTTACATTTGTGAGAATATGTACTGCTTCCCAGTGATTTTTACGTGACAGTATTTTAATAACATAAATGCAAATAACTGTTATTTAATTATGAAACAAGATACTTAACTCTTAAATCGAAGTACAAAAGACAATGTACCTGGGCATTTGTAAGTCAGTCAGATGTTAGTACATACTTCGTTAAGTTATTCCCCAATTTGATACTGTACTATACTATGTATGTGAAAGAATTCTACGAATTTAAAAAATGTTTTCGTACTATATCTCCCAGTGTTTAGAGTGACTGATTTATGTTGTTCTTGTACAATCTTGATACATAAACCACAACGTCCTAAGGTTTCCTGTTACCGAATATATGTCCGTTCTTGTATATTTATAAGAATATTTTAATAAATTAACATTACAATTATTTCAGCTTTACTTCACTAATTCCTAAAATACAATGATAAAAACAAGTGACCATTAAAATGGTATACAATCTTTTGATTACGAATAGTAGTTACGAGTTAAATTCACCAATAAAATATTGCTTATTGAGTTAGTCGTTCTAGACTCTGTAACATGCGCGTGCATATTATTTTACGGTCAGTATGTTACCACTTGTGCCATGAATAATACATCTGTGATTATAAAGCAAAACGACATCAGTCACACGTTTTCACTTTCGAAATGTTGCCGTTTTATGTTTCGAGAATAAATTCTGCTTATTTCCATGTTACAATACAAATGTTATTTGTAAATGGAAAATAAGAATTAGAAGTTTCCACAATGTTAAAATTGTTCTTTTTCTAGGGAAGGAAAACTATCTTGCGTTTACTAGTAAAAAGGAGCCTGTTCTCATTTCGATTTTATCTAAAAAAAATATTGTACTTGACGTTATATACGATTCAATCCCTGTAACCATGGATTGTTTAACAATTGGCAAACCGACGCAATAGCGATTCACTAAAACGGGTTATGATCGCCAGCGCCTTCTTTTCTGTCAACCGTGGATCGATTGTATGTGATGTGACATTTCCCATGAGAACGATCGCGAACCGCAAAATCATCGAGTGACATAAGCAATGGTTTTATTTTCGCGCGCGCTATCGAATCCGTCGTTGCTGAAATGTCTCAGATGTACAATAGACGTGACGTTGAGAAGGAGTTTATACACGAGCCACCCTTGTCGCGCTTTGCCGCCAACAATTTTATCGGAGGTCTTCGGCGGCATGAGGACAAAGAAAATCGGGTCAGCTGACTTTGGCAAAGACGCCGCGGCTGGATCCGATTTACAGAGAGCGGTCAGTTTCGTGTAAGCGCTCTGTTTTGTGTACTCATGGTGAAACGCGACATGCAGTCTACTAACCGTTCAATTTTTCAGCAACGATAAAATATTAGGTTGTCGCGTATGAAATGTCCCAACAAAGATGCTTTCTTAATGTTTGCATGCACGGATGAAAGTTCCTCGTGCGACGTAAGAAGTAAACATTTACTCTTTCCTGAAATTCACGTGTTTCAAGTAACAATTTCAGTCTTGAAAATGAAGGAACGAAGTTTCTCTAAAGAATGTGGGCAACACAGATCTTTCGATCCTAATTGAAGTAAATTCAGATCATTGTCAGGGACCTGATGAGACACAAATACTGTTATGAGCCTAGTCTCGATTGAAAACATTAAGCTCACATTTGGGAAAGGTTACGATAATTTGTCAGATGGTTAATAGCTAATATTCGTTATATCTTGGCACAGAAAGGTAAATTAATCACTCGATAGTTACAGAGTCCTAAGAACTATAATTTCTCACAAAAAGTTATGAAAGAAACAACCTGTACCGGTTAATGGCAAAGGTCCAGCTCTTCCCTATTGAAATACCCACACACGTCTCCCGTGTTTGGCAGTGTAAAGTCAATGATCTCTAATGTAATGTTCCAGTGTCTCATCCATCATACCTTTCACCGACGTTTCCCGTCGCTTAAACAATTTTCTAAAGAAGGAATAACATTAGAAAATGAATTAGACTTAGAATTCCGCGACTCTATACATGCCCCAAAGCCTCGTAATTTTTACACGCATCAATTCAAATAGTGGATGTTTTAACTAATTGACATTTCATACGTTGCAACCGAGTAGATTCGTTTATGGACACAGTAGCGGAAGAAACATGATTCAGCGTGTAAGTAACGTTGAATCTTTATGTTTCAGACCGGCATGCTTGAAGGAAGAGTTACTGTGCAAATTTTCGGAGCCAGTTAGGGACTGTTGTCATAAAGTGACGATCGTAGGGGCCGGTATGGTCGGCGTAGCTTGCGCGAACGCTATTCTATTTCAGGTACGACAACGCTTCTCCTAGTTTTTGAATAGCAAAGACCGTCGGATGTACGAATAGCCATTCCAAACTCGAGTGAAAGTTCATACGTGTGACACGTGGAAAGCCAAACTTCGTGAATATGCGTGCAATACGAATAGTCGCGGGAATATGTGACGAGATCGGCAAAATGTCCACATGCACAATGTACATGCGCGCGTTAAGGTGGATCTTAGTCGCTATTGGTGAAAATTTTTGTCAACCAACCCCTTTCCCTGCTTCGCAAATTCGTTCGAAAGTAGGAACGTTATTGTGGGCGACAAAACACGTATTTAGAAAATTTTATCCTAGAAAATCACTCCCCACCTCGCGATGGTTGATGCATTCCCGAAGAAGTTGGAAGGGGAGGGAATGGATTATAGCCACGGGTCAGTGTTCATAGGAGATCCACGTATCGATTACGACACAGGTAACGAGATTTACTCCAAAAGAACCGATCATTATAGAGGGTGTTCGACCACCTGTAGGAAAAATTTTAATGGGAAACTCTAGAGGCCAAAATAAGATGAAAATCAAGAATATCAATTTGTTGATTGAGGCTTCGTTAAAAAATTATTAAAAAATTAAATTAAAAAATTTCAAATTATTCACGGAAAAATTATTTTTGGTTGCAGGAGTCAATTACAATCACTTTTGGCCAATACCCCCGAAATCCTACGTAGTTTTGAGAACAAAATTCTTTACCGAAAATATACTGTGTGGCCGGAAATGTTTCTATAACTTTTTAACGAAGCCTCAATCAACAAATTAGTATCCTTGATTTTCGTCTTACTTTGGCCTCTAGAATCTCCCATTAAAATTTTTCCCAGGGTTAGCCAACCACCCTGTATAAGGTACTTACCTACTGCTGGTAAATATTTTAAGACAATTTTACAGGTCAAAATAAAAGGAGAATAAAAAATGGTGAAGTTACATTTGAGGTTTTTTCATTTAAGAACCGATAAAGAAAATGTAATCAACATAAATTTTGAACGTTGCACATTTACAACTTTTCCAAATAAATATACAAATAAACGAAATCGTAGTTTTTGTGTGCTATCAATTATTAACAAACTTGAACATAGAGCGTTAAATGCAACTTTGTTACCTTTAATTTTCGTTTTATTTATGTCTATGAAATCCCTCTTTAAAATATTTACCAGCAGTAGGGAAACATCCTGTACAGATTTGTCGATCTGTTTGTTTGTTTGTATAAAATTATTACAAACAAACTAAACGTACCAAGATCGTTTTTTACCCACTGTACATAGATTCGAAAGGAATTTTAAATGTGAATGACTGTCAACCGTGATCAATGTTTCAGACTTCTGTATCTCAAGCAATTCGAGGGTGGTCATCATAGCGGCTGGCGTGCGGCAAATAAAGGGTGAAACTCGGCTGGACCTGGTGCAACGAAATTCGGAGATACTGAAGAACATAATACCGACTCTGGTTGGCTACAGTCCGAACGCGGTGTTCCTGATCGTCAGTAACCCAGGTTGCGTTCCGCGTTCAAAGACGCGTTTAACGGGAATAGAAAGGATCAACGGACGAAGGAATTGTCGTTCCCGAACAATTCTGAGCTGAGAGTAGAAAAGGAACTTTTACTTTCAGTTGACATTTTGTCGTGGGTAACGTGGAAAGTGAGCGGATTACCGGTCAGTCAAGTTATCGGAAGTGGAACTCACCTCGATTCAGGGAGGTTTCGTTACCTGATCGCGGATCGTCTAGGAATAGCGCCGAGTTCGGTTCACGGTTACATTATCGGCGAGCACGGGGACAGTCAGGGTGAGTTCGTAATCATCTACTTTTAAAAAAGTTCTTAATTGTACGCCTGGACCCACAATAAATTATAAATTACGATTAATCATAAGTTTCGAGTAGGTCAACGATATTATTTCTAAACAGAAGTGCATATTTCATCCTGATGTAATAGTGGAGGTCAAGATCAATCCAATGATGTTGATAACACGACTTTCAAGTGACCTTGAGTACGGCAAATAATAGTCAATTGAAGGTAATGTTGTGTATCATAATATTACACACTTCCAAACAAATATTATTTTTCTCTGACGTTTCTCTCCAGCATCAAAAGCAACCGAGGTGTTTAAAGTGTTTGAGTACTGGATTTTTCATACTTAAAGCCACTTAACGGCCGTATTTTCATGTATTTTTTAATTGGTCTTCACCTCCACTAAGATGATACAAATATTCAGTTCCATTAAATAAATATCAATGATCGAAACAATTTTATATGTACCATAATAATTGCTTTTTTGAAAGCAAGATTAGTTTAATACATTTCAAAAGTAGGCAAGTTATTCAGAAGATCTGTTTTAAGGCCACATCTCGTATAACAATTGTCTTACAAATGTATATAAAACCTGGTAACAATTGACAATTTGTAAAACCGTCATTTATTTATGAACAATGTTATTTGCAGAAATTCACCCTTTCGCCCAGCTTGGTACAAATCTTGTGTACATACTAATGTTTTGTTTTTATTTGATAAATAATAAATACATTAAATTTACCGGAGGAGAAAGCCAACGTTACGTATCAGGGCTGTATAAACATTGAACGTTTCGTAGTTCCACTCTGGTCCGGAGTGAACGTCGCGGGCGTACAATTTCGCGATATCCTACCGAATATTGGGCTGGAAACCGACGAAGAAAGATGGTACGAAATCTCCAAAGAAGTCGTCAGACTGTAAGTCCTGTTTGCTATTTTGTCGTCTCACTTTTTCCACACCGTCACGTTTGTATACAACTTTCAATCGAGCAATAGCCAACAATTAAATCAAGATAATATTTATTCTATATATTTATATTTATAAACTTATCGTTTTTCTCTTGTTTTTTAGAGGACCAACAGTGAGGTGTTTAAAAGGCTATTCCAACACTGCCGTCGGTCTTTCGGTTGCTGACATTGTGGATGCTATACTCAAAAACACACAAAGGGTTATACCGGTTTCAACCTTAATTCAAGTATGAAACATCAGGACCATTTTTTTAAGCTTTTGCTAGTCGGTGGTAGATAATATTGTTTGTGATTAGTCCTTAGCTTCATAAGAATTTTATAATGGGTCGCGGAGCTGAACTTAAAGAAAATGCAGATAATACAATTTTTCCAAAGTGCTAGATTAGACAACCCCCCTTAAATTATTTCACCAAAGAAAATTGTGAACAGTAAATTACTGAGAAATTCCAGTGTAAAAGAAATATAGCTCCCAGTGGCAGTTTCGCGATGTTTGTCACCTGGAGCATAAAATATGAACGAATGTTTTTCCCAGGGTCACCACGAAGTCTGCCACGAGACGTTTTTGTCTCTGCCTTGTACCATTGGGGAGAACGGTGTTACCAACATCGTGCGGATGCGCGTCACAGAGTTCGAGAAGAAATTGTTCCAGGCATCGGCGAACACCGTGTTCAACGTGCAAAAGGACGTGAAAACGTGATCGGTCTCCGTAATCGTCGATCCCAAAAGCGTACCGTTCGATCGTGTATTTCATGTTGGCCTTGTAGAAAGTGCCTTTAAATATATCATGTTGTACGATACATAAACGCGCGTACCAGTTCTTTTAGCTACGCTTTGTCTTTTCTTGTTACGCCTTGCTCGATTGTCCTAACGAAGAAACATTGCTGCAACTTCCTTGTAATGGTTACGATCGTTTCGAAGCCCGCTTCGATGCACGAGGCAAACACGTGCGATGACGAAGCCCGCGCGACTGGTAGACTCTTTTTCTTTTCACCTGTGAATCATACAGATGCTGGGTTTCGATGAGTCGATGACGTCAATGACCTATCCCGTGATCTCTGGAAGAATTTTAAACGACCTTTTTCCGTGAATGCGTGTCAGGACATTCCCCACGACATACTTCTACCGACCTCAGAACGCGCTCTTTCGTATCTGTCGTCACAAATCAACGAAAATTAATCACCTCGATGCGTAACTAATGGTCGACGAAAGCGAAACGAATAAAGTAACTTTCGGATACTGTATACATTATTTTCATTATATCACTGTGGGATTTTACACCGTTAGATCGACGTAGATCTGGATTATCTTCTTTATGCTTTACTTTTGTTTGACGCGCTCCTGGCGTCAGACGACCCGATCTCTGCGGGAGCGAAACTTTACGACTCTTCAGGAATTAATTTTAATAAATTTGCAACAACAATCTCTGGAAATCTAACCATAACAGACGTTCACGTGATTTTATTTATGTGGATACATTTGTTACGTAATCTTGCTTTCGAATATTAACTGAAGTTACCAAATGCACTCCTTCGCGAAAAGAATTACTAGAGAAAATGAATATTTAATATCTAGATGCATACATATATGTAAAATATGTATAAGGACGTATGTAAATAGGAGCATAACCGAATAGGTATCTACGACTCTGCGTAATTCGATACTGTGAAACTGGAGTACTGTATATTGGAGAACTGGAGAAAATACTACTGAATTAAATACTTAGCGATCACAATTTTTTAAACAGGTCATGGATAAACGTTTCAAAAAAAAGAGATTCTCCCACGCCATATTTTATGAATATTGATGTCAACTTGCAAGCTTGCACGATATTATTAACTCTAAGAAATAGTCTAGGATCGTTTAACACTGAGTAGATTAACGAGGTCATCGATAGAAATTATGAAAATAACCCTAGTATCTAATCTCGAAAAGCACTGGATACTATATTAATTCGTTAAGACAAATTGTCTCCAATTTTTACGGCTTGAAACCCGTCGAAGAGGTAATCGTTTAGCTAAGCTAAAACTTCAATTTTCCACGAAAGCCAAAATTGAGTAAGTCGAATTCGGGGACTTTGTGTTTGACAGTTTTATTGTCACAATGTTGCGAGTGCGTCAGAAAGTTACGTCGATGGGTGCGTCTTCCCCCGCGCTTAAAAATGGCGAAAGGTGACCGGTGGATGGTACTAGAAGGTCGCAATTCCGCCGGAGGCTAGGCCGCGGCAAGGTGAGCGAACAGTTCGGAGACAGGCCAGGAGATGTCGTTTTTAGAATCGTCAGGTAAGGCGATAGCCGCGGTGTTACAGCATTCGAACGCCAACAGTGCCGTAAGAATGGCCCCCGCGTTCCGAGAAACGTTCCTCCGGAGGCGTTTCGGTTCTCGGAATAAAATGCCCTGTTGCAAAATCTTCGTGCAGCCTCGAGGATATCTATCGCGAAGTCTGAACGGTTACAGCAACGGCTATAAAAATCGCTAACCGCCGAACGGGTGGAAGTATAATGAAAGAACGATTAAGCGACGAAGGCGCTGATTAGGAGCCGTAACGAGCAACGACATGTGTGGAAATCGTTGCTGGTGGCTTCGTACGTCGGCGAAGACGCAAACACGACGCCAGAAACGCTCTCCTTTTACTCGGTTCGAAAGCAGATCCCATTTGAAAGGCGAGGTGTGTCATTAATTTTTAAAGAATTCGCGAGCCGTGTCACGTCGCGCGAATATTTCGTGGACGCTATAATCGATCGTGGATGCGCATCTTGGAACTTTGACCCGCCCTCAGGCCGTTGCGATCAGTTAATACTTTGCGAATTATTCCATCGAATTCGGTAACGGAGCACCAGTTGAGTTCACACATAGTTCCGAAGTATCGGTGAAAAACTAGTTTCGAAGCCGTGAATACCGATTCAACGCAAGTTTCACATTGTTGCGAACGGTGGCAATAGAGGATCGAACCGTATACTCGATTAGAATAAAAAGGAAGCAACCGAAAAGAAAGTAAACGCGCAAGAATGGTGACCTCCTGGCTCCCGTGGACAGAGCAGGGTTACCGCGCAGGTGGGAACGGCACTGAGGCCCAGGTGGAGGTGGCAGCCGGGCCCCGTTCTCTGTTGGTCCTGTCGTCTGTCAGTGGAGCTCAGTCAGCAGACAGTCGGTCGGTCCGGTCAGCTGGTTCCGTCTAATCGGTGTTCGATAGCTTCCTGATGGTAAGCCGAACGTGATCCACCCGATATAGAGCCGCACGGGTAATCGAGCCTCGATCATCAAGGATCGGAGACGAAAATCAGCGGCCCGCGCGCCGCATGTGCGCGAGTGTGCAGCTTCTCCACCGGAAACACCAACTGCACGGTGCGAGGTACCAAGTAAACCGAACGATAGGAAGAGGCGACGGTGGAAACCGAAAACGAGGTGGCAGATAGAAACGGGCGAGGAACGACGGTGTACACCTGGTCAGGCAGGAAATGACTATATCGTACGCGAGCGAAGTGCCAAACGGCTCCAGCTTTGGCTGCTTCTGGAGGATCCTGGTCAAGTGAGTTCACGATATTTTCCTCTATCCGTTCTCAGCGCGGTGTCTGTTGATTATTCGGCGATGCCATGCTGTGACAGGTTGGCCAGATCCGTCAGGCATCGACGGGCCTTAGCAACAAGTTCAGCTGACGCCGTCTTTGGCAAACTTTTAGCTCTGCTCTCGCTCTCTGCGCTTTGTCTCTGCCCAGAACGATTGTTCGCGATCGAGAAGGCTCTCGCTTTCCACGGGTCAATTTCACAATGACCAAGAACCTCGTACGTCTTCGGGACTCGGTCGAAAATTCACGCGTGCCGCGAAGAAACTTGGAAATTTCGCGCCGCGGTTCGTGATTTGGATGTCGAGGAGCGCGGTGTACCAAAACTTTCGACACGCGTGCGCTCGAGCGGCGCGTTCCAAGATACTGGAGCACGCTTCTAGACAGTTTACATAGTCGGTGTGCCATGTAAGACGAAGATATATTGCGATATTGCGACCGGTGGATCGTTATGCAACGTTCAACTTTCGACTCCATGTGCCGTGTTCTCGATTTAGAGATCGGCTGCATCCGAGGGAGGAGCAAAGTCCTTGACGCGAGGATTCTGCGAAAGCGCGCGCCAAAACTGTGTGGGGGGAGAAAAAAACGATAACGTTCGGGTTTTTCAGACCGATCTCGATGCCTCGTAATTTCTTTTAACGATCGCTTAGATTCTAATGAAACGGATCGACGTACACGCCGTGGCAGAAATTGTCCTGATTTTTTTCCCCCTCGTAGCGTACGGTTACGTGAATCACAGTAGCGGAGCACGTAAAACCCGCTAGCACAGAAATGGTGCTCGGTCAATGCTTGCCTGTACGTTTTAAGGAAATAAGGTCGTCGATACATCGATTTTAGCCGTAACGACGCACCACGTTACGTGGAACAACGCCACGGGATTTTCGTTCCAGTTGTCGCTTACGTCGAAACGGTATGATAGTATTTCAATGCGAGCGAATTACCATCGCGTACGTGTGCTGCATACGCGTATTGTGCAGTTACATTATTATGTAGTGTACTTTGACTAACCGCGGTAATGTAAACTTTGAGTCATTGAATAATAGCTTGACACCGGAATATATACGGTAGCTGCACACATGCTCGACCGGTGTTTACAATTTCGCCACCCGCGGAGAATTTGATTTCAGCGAAGCAATTGGATCGAATCGTCCGATCGCGTAAATTCTGCTTTTTCAGCGCGAAACGCGATAAACGGTATTTTAGTTGGATAAAGATTCATGGTAACAGTCCGCGAATTCCATTCTAAGTTAAGGATATAAGTATAGGCATAAATTGCTCGTATTTTATTGCATACATCATTTCGGTATAATATATACCTTGGGTGTACGTTTGCAGCGAGCCTCATATGCAATTTCGAAACATCGTGGCGAAATTGTAGGAATCGTGTATCACACTTTTCTTTTTAAATTATATAAAATTATGAATAGGAAAGTCGAGCTTGTCTACTTGTATTGTTTCGACGAATAGATTAAACTACGTTCGGAAAGCCCGTCGATTTATTGCACAACTTTCCTCGGGAAACACGTGACATCGATGCCTGCGCAGAAGGTAATGCGCTAAACTAAATGTTATACAATAATTCTTATGTAAATCTTCGATTCACGCCCGCGGAGTATCCGCACTGCCGAAGAGGAGTTTGTCTAGGCAACGGAGTCGAAAGATCGACCAGAAGTTCCAAGAACGGGACAACAGACGGCCAGAATCACTTGATTAAATAGTATACGTTCAACGGTATCGACGCGTCGATGCTCGCAAGCGCGCGAAACGCAAACCGACAGTTGTCAACAGAGCGAATAAAAGGAAGGCACGGTGCATGGAGTTACGATGACACGAATGAATAATGTGCGTGCATGTTCCTCTGTTTCCAAGAACGCATCCGTGCGTTTCTGGTGTCGCAAGAAGAGCAAACTAACCCCTAGAATTTCAATCGCGCCTCGAGACCGTACGGAAACAGTTTCGAAGAGAAAAACTGACGTTAGTACTCGAGAATGCTAAAGATTTTATGGGACAAAGGAAACTTGTAGAACCTTGATTACTATTAAAGATGAAAGGAAATACCGAGTAATCCCATAAGCAATTTCGCTATTAAGAATTTAAAATTGATTAACGCATAACACTACTTTTAAACGAGGATGAATTATTAATTAATTTCAGTTTCTAGACCAAGAAATGGATTTAGTTTACATTAATTCACGCTCTTGTTTAACTTCTCAAAGTATTTGGTAGAGTGTGACTTGTTCCTTTAACTATAAATTTGTCACCTTTATTTTCTCTTGCCTTTATTTTTGTCTACTACTTTTGCTGCACAACAACAGTCTATTTATTCTGTTTCATCACATTCCTCGTACGAATAGTTCAGCGTTTCATAATTTCTCTCGCACCGAATATATTTCCTTGTATCGTTTGCAATCTAATACCTATTATTTTCTTCCATATTTCCATATCCAGTTCTGGCTATTAATTTCTGGCTATTATACTTTCCCTGTTTGCAAGACACACTGGTATTTAACCACACTTAATGTATCTATGCCAATTTCTATATTTCGGCCTTCCTATCTTATTATATTACATTAATATCGGAACAAAAACATCTCTATTTTCATTCTGCAACTGCTGCATTCTTTCTTTATAGTATTTATTCTATTAAAACATTCTGATATTTCGTGTACATTACGTTGTCTCGTTATGTCTTTCGTAACTTCGTCTTATCCACTTTCCAAAATTTTAAACTACTTTTTTTTGCTCTTACTTTCATTATTTTTCTTCTTGTTTCTATATATCTGTACCGCTTCTACATCCAAATATTTCCTCACCTTTCTGAACAGTCAAATAGGAATAGAATTTTCGCAGAATAATCTTTAAACAACCATTCACCTAATCTCAAAATCTCTCTTAACACCACATTTGCATGTTTTACCCGTTGTCTTACATACACCGTTATGTCGCCATTCTTTTGCAAACTTACTTTTACTATACATATTCTTCCACTATTTATATTTCCTTTTCTTTTCACCTCTATTTGTTCGTGTCCAGCATTAAATTTCTTTAAATTAAATTATAGGCATTTTCTTGCAATTGAAATATATTCACCATGCATTCTTAGAATAGTTAGATTTTAATTTTTCTGAGTAAACTAGCATCGATGAGAAATTCTTGAAACTTTAAGATTTAACAAAATTGAAGTTACTTAACCCTTTTACTAATAATTTTCATTTTTAAAATATTGATGTTTAGTATATAGCTACGTCGAACTATTCCAAATATTTTAATGTTAACTTCATTCAATGGAAATTCACTGGTGAAGCCAAGAAAAACTCAGATAACTCACGTTCGCGGGTATGCGCACACGGCAACAGAGAAGTGTGATTTTCTCCGAATGATATCAATAATCGTAGGAATTAATAAATATCTTACGAAGCGAAGATCGTCAACGGAGCGTTTACACTAATTTATTCACAGCGCTGTAAAATTAATCCATCGATTTTAATGAAAACAACACTTAGGAAAATATGCAATAATTCAGTTAATATTTTTTTACTATACACTATTGTTAGAATACAATGGAAATAGGCTCGTGTACATGTAATATAGTAACGAGGAAGCGATTTGTGTACAAAAAATGAAATAATTCCATTTTTTTTTTTTTTGTACATATAATTCTTAGGGGAAAAAGTCGTATCACGAGATAACATAGGTTATTAACCCATGCAGAATTTTTCTCTATACATTTATCTATTTTCACTTAAAACAGAACTATAGCTTGGCCCAGTTTTTATAATAGAATCCCCTTATATTTAAACTGATGCTTGGTTCGAACCAAATATTTCCTATAATTAAATCTATATTTTAGAAGCAATTCATCATTGCATTATTATTCTTATAGTGATTCTGGATTGAGAAATGTTTCAGATTTTTCTCACTTAAATTGTGTCGCGAGCACAGAAAGACTATGAATCTTATACTATGTGCCATCAGCTTAAAAAGGTTAACACGTTGACTGCCACGCAGGTTTCCTATATTTAGAGGCGTCCTTGACATTTGTTCAAATTATAGCTAGAAAAATAGAAGTACTCAATACTTAAATGTTGCAGCTGATATTATATAAACTTTTCAATATCGTTGATGTTATTTAAAAGCTTCGAATTATTAAAGTTTGTTTAGTATAAACGTTTTAAGAGATGAAAACAATTTTATACTATAGAAATATTTTCAAGAAATGAATTATCGAATATTTTTGCTGAAATCACCAAAATGATTTCTGTCATGCTACAAATGAATTCTAGATCACTGTACGCTGTAATTTTTCGTGAAAACGCATTATTAATTGTGTCGTATGAAAACCTTCTTTTAATCTGTACTGTAAGTTTAAAAGGTTTAAAACCTTTTCTTTAACTCATCGACCATCACTTCAGACGAGCTCTACACGTCACTTCATAGTAGAAATGACCTCGACATTTCTTCAAATTATAGGTTGAAAAATAGAAATATCCAATGAGATATGTTACAGAACGACGGTTTAACGACGTTGATTGCGTTCTCGGAATATGCCTCTACTTTTGCAATAATTTAATGTCACATGTGCACATTTGTCTTTGAGATGTTTCAGTAAATAAATTACTCTCAATGGAATTAACCAAGTCACTTTAATGCGAACACAAATTATATAATTGTCGGTGCTGTTACGTCGTTACTCGGTTAATGTTTTGATGATCTCTCGGATAGAAACAAAGTCCACTCTTTTTTACTGTTTATTTTCAAGTTGCCTAGTAATGTGAACTATGTGGTGACGCATCGAGGCAGCCTGAACGCTCCAATTTCTTTCGCTTCGAGCTTTACCTCTTCATTCCTTGCGGCGCAACGTGTTAAACGGCATACTTGTTGTTTTATAGCATTCCTAATGACAGTCGAGTTATTAAAAAAACATGGAATTTTTTAAGTTTTTGCATTATAAAAGTTTTTAAGAGAC